ATATAAAAAGAAAAGGGACAGGGACAGGAAGAGGGGATGCTGCTAAAAGGGGTAGTAAATGAGTCGATTAGATCAACTGAGATGAACAAGACACTTAACTAGAGGGACACCTGAGTTAACAACTAGTCCTGCAATTTCACATTCAAGTTGGTTTCTAAAGTTTTGACCTCAGCTACTCTGAGGTCAGTAATGGGTGTCTAGGGAGGTTAAAATGTTCTGCCATGGGCTTCTGTGCATTTCCGAAACCGATGGTGAAAACTTTTCTTTCCGCCAGTCCTTTCACAGCATTTGATGAAGTAGGTTGTTGCCGGTGACCACCCATGCCTCTCTGAACCAGCTAGTCTTCAAAGGGTACCACCCAGCCCTACCTGTTGCCTGACTCGAAACTAACAGTTAATCACCTCTGTGCAGATAACAGGGGCAATAGTGAGGGAAGAACTCACTATTTTCACTAGTGCTGATCTCTGAACCTTTTAAAGGAACCTCTGAGCAGGGGTTTTGTCCTGGTTAGTATTGTATTTGAGGCAGAGATCTCAATGGGAAAACCCCAGGTCCTGAAAAAAGTCATACCAGTGATTCAACAAAGAACAATTATTCTTCTCTGAGTCAGTACCAAGCATAACATTACCTAGCATTACACTGCTGGGGACAGACATAATGGCCATTTATACACATGCTACAGGAGTTGGGGTGCGGGGGATGCTTTAATTAGAGTGGCTCCAAAAGTCACTGTAATTAAAGCACTCGCAGCATCTCGAGTATCAGTATACCTGCACTTTAAAAAATGGCAGTGGGTGCACTTTAACTAAAGCTTATCAAACACACTTTAATTAAAGTGCCCCCGCCACCATTTTGAGACACTGGAGCCTGCAGAAGTGTGGTAATTATCACACTGCAGCAGACTCAGTTAATTAAGTCTGCTCCAATGCGCTGTGATTACAGCATTACACACAGCAATTTTTAAATTATTACAATGCATCAGAGCAGCCTCTCACAGCACACCTTGTAAGTATAGGAAGATTGGCTCTGGTACCTGGTCATAAGCTGGAATCTCATGTTCTCTATCCCCACCTTGGAATTTGGTTTCCTTCACATCCTCTCTAAAACTGCTGTACAGCACTGTTATATGCTAATAGCAACAGCCACACCCTTGTACCAGGTGTACTGTGACAGAGCAGGTAAGCTTCTCACTGCAGATCCAGGGATATGAGTTCCAGCTGCATGCCAGGCTAGTAGTGAAGACCACCCTCAAGTCACCCCACCATAGTTAGGTACTTGGCTGTTCTGGTTAGGAAGCCAAAGGAAGCCAGACCCAATGCTAACCATGTCACTTTCTTGGTGTGGGCCCACTGCTTGCAGAAACTTGTGTGCCTTCACCAGGTTATCTGGATGGACCACTTTGACAGACCTTTGATGTATCCTACTAGAGCTGACTGCATTTAGAAGGTTTGGATGAACTGCTTGCTAAATGTGTAGACATTTGTAAAAAGCTTGGGGCAACTCTGGGATGAGAGGTACTGTGTGAATGTTAATGTTCATGTATTTAGTTATGTTTACAGGTTTGCATGAATGTGGTGCTGGAAAACAGCATGCATGTCTTTAGGGATGTGAAAAGGAATGGTCTCCGTGGCCGAAACAGCCAGGAGGCTTGCAGTGGTGGGGCATATGGGTGTTTTATCATATGGATACTTGCCCACTAGGAACAAAGCGGATGTCATCAACTAACAAGAAATCACTAAGCAACCAACAAGTGGTAACAACTTTCAGTCCACTGGAGACTTGGCTGAGTACCAAGCAGCAAGCTATTTCACCCACACTAAGATCACCCTCCCATTGTAAGCATGAGCTGCTACAGCAAATAAGAGCTATACCTCTCTCAGACCACATTCTATCTGCTGCATATACTAACCTGTCCACTTTAGCTTTCAAAGAAGTGCATTTCCTAGAATCAAGCAAAGGGCAAACCACATAACAGATTCTATTATGTCAAAAGAGATCATTCTTTACAAGGGGTCTGTCTGTTGTTGACTAACCTAGAGGATCTCAAACCTTGTGCAACATGGACACCATGTACTGTGGTATTCTCCAGGCAAGATTGATAGCCCTACAGGAATCTCACTGTTCACATGGATATATGGTATCAGAAAAATCCTTAGTATATTTTAATTCTCTTAATAGGATGTAGACCAGGCTATCCAACTTCAAAGTGGCTGGGGGCTATGCACATCAGAGGGGCAGTACTAGCAGGGGGCCACGGACCTTCCAAGCTGTACACCCTGTGCATGCATGTGTGGGTGGGTGCTCCCCTTGCTGCACTGTGCACATAAACAGGTGTTCCCCCCGCTGCACTGTACACAAGGCACTCCTGCACCCTAATGCACCGTGCACTGTGTGCACAAACAGCCACTCCCCATGCACAGCACAGCACAGCACAGCACAGCACAGCACAGCACAGCACCTTGCTTCACCTTCATCAACCTGAGGGCTCATCCTGTGGCACCGTACCAAAGAAACTCTGGGCTGCTGGCTCCCTTAGCACCACAAGCTTTGCCAAGCCACACTATCCCATCCAGGTGAGAAAGGGGGATACCCAAAGACCCTCGATGCTGCTGCAGCCAAAGCAATAGGGTTGGCAGTAGCTGTTTGGGAGCTCAGGGGCCACATGGTAACCCCTCCCCCCGCAAGTCTGCCAACTGAACAGATCTGATGTAGACAAAGCCAAATGCATATGGAGTTATATTAACAGGAGTGTCACTTGCAAATCAAGGCATGTGATTCTTCCACTCTATTACACACTGGTGAGGACTCACCTAGAGTTCTGTGTCCAGTTTTGAAGCCTACACTTCACAAAAGACAGGGACAGATTATCAAGAGTTCAGCAGAAAGAGACAAAAATTATCAGAGGCCGAAAAACATGATTTAGGAAGAAAGGGTGAAAGACCTAGGACTATTTAGTCTGAAGAAGAGAAGACCTGGAGAGAAGGGTGTTGATAACAGGCTTCAAATATCCTAGGGGTGATAGAGGATAGAAATGAGTATTCTCTGTGGCCATAGGAGACAGGACTAGAAACAGTAGCCTCAACCTGCAGCAGAAGAAATTTAGATTCGAGATTAGGAAGAATTTACTGACTGTGAAAGTAGTTAAGCATTGGACCAAACTAATTAGAGATCTTGTGGACTCTGGACATTTTCAAGAATAGCTGAGACAGACATTTGACTGCAATGGTTTCATCAAGGATGATCCTGCCTTGAGCAGGAGGCTGGAACTTGATGACTTCTTGAGGTCCCTTCCAGCCCTATTTTCCTATGATCTTAAGAGAAGAAGCCAACACCATGCAAACACCAAGTGATCATCACCAGTGTCCCTTGAGCTACAGTGTGGGAACTGCTGCTGTCTGCAAGGCATAGAAATTCAAAGGAAGCTCTTTTAATTAATGATAGTAACTTTGGGAGAGCAATGCGGAAGCTGACACTGAGATCAGGGTTGTTAAACTGACTTCAGACTAGGAAAGAGAAAGGAGAAGAATAAAAGGAAACAAGCCTCCGCTTGGAAGGGATGTTCCTGCATGGGGTCCATTGGGGTCCTATGTATAATTAGCAATATTATAGAAGCATTTGGAGTCCCCAAGCGAGATCACAGCTAGCCCCACTATGCTAAGTGTAGTGTGTTAAGTAAGAGACATTCCCTACCCAAAAAAGCCCATAATCAAGAGAGATAAAGGGGTAGGGGAGAAGGAAAAGCACAGAGTAAGGACATGACTGGGCTTGCAACATGCCGTAGGTTAATGGCAAAGCTGGAAACAGAAGCCAAGTCTCCTGATCCTTAAAGCCAGTGCCTAAATTACTAGGCCACAGAAATCCTCTCCACTCCCACATCTCATGGTGTTTAAAAGTCAGATGTGGGCCGTCGTATTTTGGAGCTCTAAGCCTATTTTCTTCCTTGATTTCACTTCCCTTCCCAATTCAAGATGCACTGTGAGATGAGCCCCCTATTAGTGCATCCTCTGCCAGCTACCCTGAGTACTGCTTCTCTGTCACTTGCCAGTCTTTGTGCCTGATTCACACAGCAGCCCTATGTGCCTCCCCCACAATTATCGAAATTCTGTTCCCACCTTCATGCCCCTTGTCCTGGTCACCTAAACACTTACAACTGCCAAGACTGAACCAAATCCCTGGATCCAAACTTCTCACATTTCTCGGGGATCACAATCCAAATATAGGCACCTACCTAAGTCGTAGCGAGAGAAAGCAATTTTTGCAGCTTGGTCCCAGCTGGAAGAGCCAATTTCACAGTCATTTCATGGCGGCCCTGCTCCCAAATGCTGATTGGCTGAAAGGCATGAGGCAGCCACCACCTTGACTGCTGGCTGCCCTTCATGTGGCCCCGCCCTTTGGTGCTGATCAACAGAGAGGCACAAGGGGCAGCTGCCCTTCATGCCACCCCATTAGCTAGTGCCTTCCCCTCCCAGGCGAGTGCATGGCTGGGTCACAGCAGCAGCAGTGAGGACTGCTGGCTCCTGCTGGGAAGCCAGCATTTTATTTTTATTAAGGTTTTGGTTTTTTTTGATCTTCTGGGAAATCACAGCCAATGCCATTTTTCATGGCTACTGCGGAGATCCCTGTTTTTCATGATTTCCACAAAAATCACAAAACCGTGATTTAAGTTGCAAAACCATGATTTATCCATATGTCATACCTCACCCATGTTTTCCTAATGGACCAAACCAAAACACTGGATCCACAGCATCCAACTCTGATGTTGTGCAGTTGAAAAGACTGCCATAATTTGAACAAAGATCTGGACTTCCAAGCTAATCCCACCTTTACAATAAACTATTTGGGGAAAAAAGAGAGGATCCAAACCTTTGCTTCCTCTATTCCCTGAATATGAGGAAAACTCAGATTTAATCTCTCAATTACAATCATTATGGAGGAGCAAGCTTAATGCTTAGTTATCAAACTCCAAGTTGCCACCCTCCTGAATGAGAAGAGGTCAGTTCCACATATAAAAATATTATTTATTTATAGTATAACATTATAGATATATAAAATATATATTAAAAGGAATGCATCAATAGTTACTTTTCTGCTCAAGTTACCATGTTTCTTTGCAGCATGTTAGGCAAGGCCTGGTTTTCACTTTCCACCCTCTCTGGGCACTACTGGGTGCCAGGAGAGTCAAATGTCATATACCCCTGTTTTTTCCTGAGTGAGTCACAGAGCTGGGGGTGGGATGTGGCTGACACACAGAAGTGGGGAAGATGAAGCAAGAGGTAACCAGGCTGTGCAAGGAAGCCAATGGGTGTCTGCAGCCTTTGCAGTACTGGCATGGGCAGCCTGGAGGCACTGTAGAGGACTGGGAGGATTTAACTGGGAAGGAGAGGAAAGTGCAGAAGGGGACATAGCTCCCTGCCGTGAAGGTTGAGTTCTGAAGTGGCTCAGGACCAGAAAGTCCCCAGAGCTAAGGAAGGTGCTGAGGTAGATTTGGGGAGGGGGAAGGGAACAGGAGGAAGCTGGAGAACTGGAACACAGTTTTTCCTGTGGGAGGATGAAGGGGAACTGGGACTTGCACAAAACCCTCAATAGTGATAGATTTTTATGGGCCAAATTCACACCAGTTTCTTCTCTACTGACTTGAGGGGTTACCAACAGCAAGTAAATGGACCTTCTGGGTTTAAAAGCCAATACACTTTGCTCCTCATTTACCCCAAGGCATTTTCTCACTGTTGGAATATGCCCAAGTACATGATGCAGTGCTGTGTATGGAAGAGAAGCAGTCAGAGAGGAGGTTCACCCTTCTTTCCTTCCCCTTTTCAATATACCAAATGTTCTGGGTAATTTATTAATATCCTCCTCTGTAAGACACTACCTATAAGAGCCCAAGAACAGAATCTGATCCTGGGAAATAAGTCAAAGTTCTCCAAGTCAAATAGGAGAAAAAAGACTTTTGGGGGGTGAATTTTTTTCTTTTTTCTTTTTCTAAAAATCCTTCTACAGTTAAACCCCCCACAGGCATATCTACACAAGATGCATCACCAGGCATGAACCATGACATAACGCTCCTGCACAGTAGTTATGAGCTACTGCGTAGTAGCCATCACTGGGCAACAGTGCTGGGATGCTACTGCGCAGTAACTCCAGTCACTGCATAGTCATCATGGTCATTTAGAACCTGGTTATGCAAGTACTAAATAACAGCACAGTAACAACTGCACTGGGCGGCTTGTGTAGACACACCCTGCAAATACTTGCAGCACATGCAAGAGCAAGGGTTAAAGGTGCTAAATGCCCATGAATAACATAACTACATAATCAACAATCGCTGTGCCTGTGCTGGGCAGAAAACTCCAGTGTCAGTGAGTTCTGCTAGGGCACTGAGTAAAAAAAAATTCAGTTGGAGAACAAATGAGTAAGAGGGGGCTTCAGCAAACCAGGAAGATTATAAAAAAGACCCCAGACTTCATACCGCTTCCATCTACCTCCCACACACACATACACACACACACACACACACATATAAACCCTGTCCACTCACGTACACCCACACTAAAAAACAGAAAAAACAAACCCACGACCAACATACTTTCTTGCACACAAATAGAAACATCCACAAAGCCTCTCCATGGGCCTAAAGGCTCCTTCAGTAGGTACACATGGTGCAAATCGGATTTTCACAGAATCTGGCCCAGTGCATCTGCATTTTCTCAGGTAGCAAGTGCTCCTCTTGAGCAAGTAGTGAGTTTAAAAGAGGCCTTTGTGGTGCTGGAGTTCTTCCTGCTACTCTGTTAGGGTTGTCCTAGGACAATTCAGGGTGAGTTCCAAGAATCAGGTTTAAATCCTTTTTCGAGTCAATTCAGCTGTCCGGTATCAAAGGCCTGATGGTGGTTTCCCGAGGGGCCTCCTGCAGTAAGACCCTGTGCTAGTGCGCAGCTCCTGTGAATGCTTAAGTCCCTAGTGTGTATTTGCTGAAAGCCACATACCAATGAGTAATCCCTAAAGTTTAAATACACCAAAAAATGTCTTTGATTCTTCAAAATGAACCAGAGCAATTTTGGAGACATTGACATACAACCTGTCCATTCTGGTGAGGTTGAACAATGCCCCCAGGTAGCTGTTCCCGGCCCACATTTTCTGAGTCGCACAGTAATTCATCCTTCTGTCCTCCATTAAAACCTGGTTCCCTGGATAACCTGGGTTTCGTTTGTAAACAGTATGGTCCAAAGGCTGGTTGTTGCAGACCTCACCTCGGAAGAACACACTGGAGTACACAAAGTACAGACCAGTTTCATTAATCATCAGGCTTCCTTGTTTATACTGAATGCTGGAAGTGAAGGCATGTCCATAGATGGCCTCCCATTCCAGAGGAAGGCCTTTCTGACCAGATTTGCCTAGAAACAAAGATGAACAAGAAGCTGTTAGATGAATACATATGCCTAACGGTTTTCAAGTCCCCACTGAAAGTCATTTGGGCAAATCATGTAACTTCAGCTCCTTCATCTCTCAAATGGAAATTACACCCACTGACTTCAGAAGTAGGTGCTGTGAAGTTTAATTTCTTCATACACAGCAAATGTTGCTTCTCTGCCCTCAATCACCTACCCGTTAAGTGTACTGCTTTCCTGACCTCTTTCTTTTCCACGATCTTTTCTGTTGCATTTGGAAGCCCTGCATTAAAATAAAGAAGGAGTTAGCTGCAAATTCTGTGAAGAGGACCTGATAATGAAATGACATTAGAAAGGGACACTCCCCATGGAATTAGAGAGAGACAGATTTACTATGAAATAGATAACGCAAGGCATTACTAACTATGGAACTATCTGCTGTGGGACACTATTCAGGTGAATACTGTAGCCTGGGAAGTTTAAAAAGAGGACTGTTACTATAGAAGGATCAGAGCAAGTTACAAAAAAAATACATGAAGGGGACAAGGCTTTGTGATTTGGGCTTTGTGCAATGCTACAGGACAGCATTGCACAAACAGCTGCACTTCTGGGCTTTGTTCTGATTGAATCACTCTCATAGTCCATGCAGAGTATGAGCCCACATCATTAATAATAATAAACTAAACTCTCTTCCAAGCTGCCAAAACCAAAAATGACCTGGCAGCAATACAAATTATCTATGATTAGTTTATTATGGCCAAAGACTAATGTCCCAATTACAATGAGCAGATTCAAGGTGCCAGTCAACGCTCCTGCAACTTCTAGCTCTGGGAGGCCGCCTGAGGACTTCTTTTACACAGCTCTTAATTATTAAGTCTTTGCTACAAAGGGAGGTAGCATAAAATTTTAAGGGGGCTGTAAAAATGTAAGGCAAAAGCAGATAAATTTCCTAAGATACCAAGCAACTGGAAAAACTCTGTGTTAGGTGAAGAATCTGTAGTCTGATTTAGACCTAGTGGAGAGCTGAGTCAGTTAACCATGTGACCAGTGCAAGAAAAGTGCACTGAGACTAAAGTGCCCCTGGCTGGCTAGTTTTGGCAACAGCTTTCCAAAGCAGATGGGTACTATAGGGACCCAGATACTTGTGGGTACTATTTCCCCTGTAATATTTAATTCTAAAGAATTTGTGGATCAGCATTTGTTCTTTGCGATTATGGCTGTGCCAAGAGACCCAAGGAGAAAGTAGGGTCACCTTCTTCAAGGCATTGAATTAAGCAGCCAATCCTCACCCCCAAAGGCTGATAAAGAACCTAAGTTACAACTAGAACTGTGGGGGAATCAGAATTTCCATTTTGCAGGAAATTCCCCAATTTCAAAATTGCATCAGAACTAAACCAAAACATTTCAAAATGTCCCAGAAAACAATATTTTGGGGAACACAAATTGTTTTGGATGCATCAAAGTGTTTCATTAAAGAAAAAATTAAAAAGCATTTTTGGATTCAGCTGTCTATACATTTTCAACTTGCAATTCATGATGGAAAAATCAAATTTGAAAAATGAAAAGTCATTTTGAAGCAAAGAACCAAGGAAGCCTTCCCAAAAAAGGGTTGCTTTTTTTTTTCCTGGCATGAAGTTTCATGAAAATTTACATGTTCCCATGGAAAGTTTCAATTTAATTGAAACCACATTCTTCAAATCTCAGGAAACTTTGGGCCAATTTTGGTTACCCCAATGGAATGTATACAGAAGACACTCAAGAAAATTATGTTGTACTTTAAGGGAAAAGGAAAAAAATAACCATCAGGGAGGAGGAAGACAAATAATAGTGTTAGGCACCCCTCTCTCCTTACATGCATCACTTATAGTGTAATAAGGAAGCCAGGGATGTATTTGTAGCAGCGTTGGTCTGAGACAAAAAGAAGTGTAAGACTCTAGGCCTCTCGGTTCAGAGATGATACCTGTTATTACACCAACTAAAAAACTGCAAAAAATGATTTTTTTCTGCAAGTTTTTGGGTGAGCACGCCCTTCCTGAGGCTCAGGGAAAATTAAAGATGGTAAAAAGTTCCCGTAGGTAGAAAATAAGCTTCATTTTTGCACAGAGGGAGCTGAAGGTAGAAGTCTATTCCTCTGGGGCCAGACATAAGGAAGCCAAACATTTCATTAATGAAGCTCAAGCTTCATAAAGGGCTGGCATCCAAGTCAGGATTTGGTTGCTCCTGGGTTTTCAGGTCTGGGAGCCTGGGCTGGGCCCATCTCTCAGTGGTTGCCTGGCCTGTCTGCACTGGGGACACTTCCTTCATGCAGAAGAGAAGCACCGGGATCCCCGCACCCTTGTGACCTGCAAAGGGACGCCTGCTCCTCCGGCCAAAGCGAGGAGGCACGTCCTTGCCGAAGCAGGCC